CCCTTTGCCAAATCACTGGATGACATTGTCTCCAAAGTCTGTAAAAACATATCTAATTTCTTTTATCTCTCTAATTTATCATAAACTAGTGAAAACAAATTATCAAAAGCTCTATGAGATAAATCTTCTCTATTGTCAATGGATTTTAAACTCCCCTGAATATTTTTTAATTCATTCATAACTGTAGCAGGAACAGAAAAAGTAGAAATTTGAGAAATACTGTCTTTAACTAGAGAAATGTCCTTAAAAGTGTCTTTAGAAATTTTTTCTATGGGGGAAAGGGAACTCATAATCTTATTGAGATAAGCAATGGTGTTTTCAGATGAGAAAGAAAGGGAACGGAAATGAGGCTCTATAGAGTCAAACTTGTGACTAAAAAGATTCTTAACATCTATGGAGGATTCTGACCTGATCTGCTTATAGACAGCAGCAAAATTACAGTCAATGATTTTTTCAATAGAGTAAAAAAGATTTTGTAAGAGAGGGACTAACTGTTCTGCAGTTAGTAGTTTTGATTCGCCCCTCCCTCTTGGGGTTGACGACGATTCCCGTATCCGGCGCTCTGCTCGCGCATCGCCTCCAAGGCTTGGTACTGCGCTTGGGTTGTGCGACTGAGCCGGATCATCTCTTGATGGATCGATCTTTGGTAAGCTACGCGGCGATTCTCTCTGGCTGTTTGAGAATTCGTACGCTGACGAGGGCCGTTCGCGCTCATCGGTCTGAAATTGTTTGGCGCTCGGTGCGCATGATTTTGACGGTTGGCGTTGCGATTGCGATTGCGGTTGCGATTCTGGTTGGTACTGTTTGGATGTACTTCGCTCGTCGGTACGTGAGGGTACGGAGCTGGAGCGGTACTCGCTACCGGTTGAGGGTAGTAGGGACTCGCTTGGTTGAAGAACTGACCCTCTTGGGGCAGCTGTTGATAGCTCTGCGGGTACGGGTAGCTGTGTTGGTTGTAATATGCTTGTTGGTACTGTTGACTCGTTCCTTGGTGGAGGGGTGGTACTTCGGCCGGAGGATCGATCTGCATCTCCGGGTCTGGAGTCGGGGTCACTGGAATGTCCTTGCTTCTCTTGTACTTGCGACCCGTCGGCCCCGTAAGGTACTCCTCGCACTCCGCCTTTGGATCCCAGTTCCCAAACAGATCCTTGAAATCCTGAGGGTTGATCTTGTCCGCTAGATCGTCTTGCAGTTCCGAAGCTTTGGATATCGCGACGACCTTCATGTCCTCGTCGTTCTTCTCCTTCGCTTGACGGTAATATTCCTGGTACAACTTCACCGACTGCAGAAGAGGATGAAGAGGACGAGGATACTTTGCTAGAATATCGTCCCCGAGGCGCCCCTTTGAGGTCTTGGTCTTCGACCAGAGCTGGGCGGTGGCT